TGAGAGCTGTAATCCGATCGGTTAAAACTTGCACCTCCCTACGAGTTTTTGGTTTTTGATTTTGCATGAGAGCCTCAGCCTGAGCTGGGCTTACCTCTATCCCTCTTTATTCACTATGTGGCCAAGGAATTGTCCTGATGATACTGCAAAGGAACACTTGGAAGGATTCAGCTTGATGTTGTACTTCTTCAAAGTATTGAAGACTTCCTGGAGGTGCTTCGAATGGTCTTCCTTCTTCACACTTTTGACCACCATGTCATCTATGTATGCTTCAACCATCTTTCCTAACAAATTATCGAAGATCTTGTTAACAAGACGTTGATAAGTGGCCCCGGCATTCTTCAGCCCGAAGGGCATGACCCTGTAACAATAAGTGCCCTTTTTCTGTAATGAAAGCAGTTTTTTCTTCATCTTCTGGATTCATAGGAATCTGATTATATCCTCAGTACGCATCGAGGAATGTAAGCCTCTCGTAACCAGTAGTAGCATCAACCATCTGATCTATCTTTGGCAGAGGGAAGATATTTTTAGGGTAAGCTTTGTTAAGGTTGGTATAGTCTATGCAAATGTAATACCCCTAATTTTAAAAGGACAGTCCTAGAATTTAATTTAATTATTTATTGTATTTTTATTAAATTAATTGATTATTTGCTTGTTTTAATTAATTAATTATTTGCTTAATTAATTTATTTTATTTTTAATTCAATTAATTGTGTTTTTCTTTCATTAATCGTTTTAAATTTTGTTTTCTTTAATTAATTGCTTAAATTGTAATTTGGTTTGTTTCATTAATTTAAATGTATTTCTTAAGTTTAATTAATTATGTGCTTATGTGAATTCACTGTTTTGGTAATTAGAGTTTCATGTTTTACATCGTGTCAAGGATTGGAGCCGACATATAATTGGTTTAGGATTTACTTTGGGGTTTGGTTTAGGATTTAAATTAGGGTTTCAATTAAAACCTATAAATATATAAGTATAGGTCTGCCAAGGGTTTTGTTAACCCTATTCACGTAATAAAGAGTTGTGAGAGACAGAGAAACAGAGAGTGAGTCTGACTAATATACAGAGAGGCTCAAAGAGGAAGGAGTGGAGTGCTTTTGGGTTAAACCAAGAGCACCAGAGGTGGTGACCGGCAGCCTAGGACGTTGACGGGAAATCTAGAAACGTTGGTTTACAATTTCAAAATCTGAAACTGCAGGCAAGTCACTGTTCTTACTATTTCCCTTTAATTCGTGTTCTGTGCATATCTAGTTAGACTCCAGGATTTAATCAAACATTAAAATAGATTTAATGAATGTTATAATTCATCTTATATGCATGTTGAATCAGTATTTTGTTTCCATTGAATTAATCTGTTTGATGTTGCTTAAAAGTTTTAACAAAAATCTTGTTGCCGATTATTTTAGCACTTGTGTTAAATTCCTGTTTGGATATCTATGTTTTAATGTTAATTTGAGACATTTAAATGAACCCTAGAATAACTTCTTAAAACAGTAATGAAGATCACCAAATAATTCTATTGTGGGTTGCTTAAAATCACGGACTAAGTTTCTGTGATCGATACTTCAAAACCTAGGTTAAGTACTTGTTATATTTGGAAGTTAGAGATTTAAAATCAACCTTGGATTGAGTTTTAAGCCTAGAACAAGGATTAAAATCATTATTTAAGTTTAGAGAAGGAATCTGTGTGGAATTGCTTAAAAATTTCTAACTGGACATTCTGTTGTCATTGTTTCAAACGGTGTGTTCAATTCATGTCGTGATTGTGTACCATTGATTTAGGGTTAATCTAGAACAATAATGGAACCATAGAACAAGTACTAAAATATTTACCAAGGCCTGGGTATCGCCGGATGCGAGGAAGACGTAGTGGAAAAAAATGCAGAACGCGCCGAAAATGGAGAAAGCAGGCTCTCAAAAATGAGAGAGCCAGCTCCCTCACACAAGGAGCCGGCTCCATGCTACAAAGAGCAGGCTCCCTAAGTTAGGGAGCTGGATCCAACATTAAAAGAGCGGGCTCTAAATTTGTATGGAGCCTGCTCTCACCCAAATGCACACAGGTTGGTATTTTGGGCATTGTTTGGACTGTTCAGATGATTAACACTTCGTATAAACTGTTTATTTGATGTGTTGGGAATATAATAGGCTTAATATATTATGGGAAATATTAATCCATGATTGAGTATAGGAATGGAGCAAAATAAATCTAAGGAAAGGCGGTAGATTGCAAACTAAATTTCTATTGTCGTTGGTTTCAAATATTATGTTCAATACATGCTATGGTTGGATGTTAGAGGTTTAAGATGTATCTAAGATTAAGATTGAACCTAGAACGAGGATTAAAAACATCACAGAGGGTCTAGGAAAACACCGGAGTTGAAGAAGATGAAGCTGAAACGAACAACGGCAAGCAAGGGAGCAAGAGCAGGCTCCAAAAATGGAAAGAGCCAGCTCTAATATTCTTAGAGCAGGCTCTTGGCTGTTTAGAGCTGGCTCTTAGAGTCATAGAGCCAGCTCAATCCATAAAAGAGCAAGCTCAATTTTTTTTAGAGCCTTCTCTTTCATATAAATTGCATACTGTATGATTTTTATTCATTAAATGGACTGTACAGTGCATTAGGACTTCGTCCAACTTATTTTAAATGTTGTATGGGCTGTTATAGACCTATAATAACATGGGAAAATAATAATTCAAAAATGGATTAAAGGATGGACTGTATAAGTTAAGAAAACTTAGGGGTTGCACACTGTTGGACAAGTTTTATTAGCACTGAAACTTAACAAGGATTGTGTATATGGTTTAATTATAAAAATAAATCATATTTCCATAGTATTATAAGTATAGTGAATTAACTAAAAATTCCCTATGCTTACCTTGGGTTTAATAGATACTTAAATTTCTATTAACTGTATCAATTCGTGAACTATATTGGAGGATTTGCTAGGTTTATATACCTGAGCTTGGCAAGGTTGTTGTGTATGATTTAAATATATATATATATATCATAATTCTATAGTATTTGAAGTATAGGGAATTAACTGAATTTTCCTATGCTTAGCTTGGGTGTAGTTGATACTTAAATTTCTATTAACTATATCAATTCTTGGACTATGATGGAGAATGTGAATGCTTAAATTTATTGTAGCACTTTACATTATTGGAATTGGATTTTAGGCCCGTACTGGATGCCTATTATTTATGTATATGCATTAAATTTATCTTATGCATATTGTGGAATGTGGTTGATGACTATTTAATATGGTATGGTCAACTGTGTTAACTGGAGGATTGTATGTACCGGTATGGGACGGTGACATACTAGGTATGGATTAGTTAAAACACTAATCCTACCTAATTTGGAATGAGTTGGATTAACCATAAAAAAAGGTTAAGTCCTATTTATATGGATATATATATGAACCGGTATGGGACGGTGTCATAGTAGGGATGGCTTAGTTCAAAATACTAAGACCTACCTATATTGGGAATGGATTAGTTCAAAACACTAAGTCCTACCCAAATTGGATTAAGGTATGGATTAACCATAAAGGTTAAGTCCATCACCTACATGTGTCATATCAATTGTGAATTGAAAGACTTACTACGGTTTCAGGATAGAAGGCTGATATTTTGTATTGGGAGTACGGACTTTATATATTTATTTTATGTGCCATGGTTTGAGCTTGAGTCTCAGGACCATGGTTAGGGCGCGTATATCACCTAGGATGGATAACTGGACATAGGTTTTGTTCCCTGGTAGGTCTAGGTACTCATGCCCACCCTTGGGTGCGTATTTGCATGTTGCCTTCTATTCAGGCTGAGACAGACCTACTAAACTAGCGAGCGTCCTATAGTGTGTACTATATATACATCTATGGACTACTCTAGATATTGTTGAGTCTTCATAGGATGTATTTGTGTATCGGATTACTATTTGGATTGTAGTAGAATATGACTTGCATGTGGGCCTGACCCACTCTTTTATTTTTCAGGTGTTCATCAGTTTCAGGGTTAAAGCTTTGGATGAGCAGAGCAGATACAGACTTCCACTTTACCGATAACGTAGGATTTCTTTCCAGATGTTCGATTTAGATTTTATCTTCAGTTTTTACTTTCATTCAGTTTAGAGTTTTATTAGGGGTCCACTAGAGATGGATTCCCGAGTTGTATGGATTGGAGGAGTTTGAATAAGTTGGTTTCAATTAGTTTAAGTTGAGGATTTCTTTTTAAATTTTGTATTCTTTCAGTTTTTAACTTTTATCTCTTGTTCACTTTGTATTTCGTGTTCGATTTAAAATACTTTAATTGTTTGATATCCCTCGGGTTTGGCTCGGACCTGATCAACCCGCGTCTCAAATCCGAGGGGTATCATAGCAAACCCTCCACTTCCCATTCTTCTTTTAGACGACTACCACGTTTGACAACCATTGTACCTCTCGGATGAAACCTGCTTGCAACAGCTTGTTCACTTCTTCAGCTATAATGCGATTGCGTTCAGGGCAAACCTTCGGTGTTTCTGTTTAACCGGTTTGAACTCCGGATCCACCTTCAGGCTATGGCAGGAGACTAAAGGGTCGATCCCTACCATGTCTGAATGATCCCAGGTAAAAACATCTGCATTGCTTCGAATGACATCGATTAACGCTTCCTTCTCTTCGGATATGGAGGAGGAGCCTAAATAAGTGACCTTACGGGGATCGCCAAAGATAACTTCTATGGCTCCAAGGATCTCCTCGATAGGCTTCGCAGCTTCTTCTTCCTCCTCTACCTTAAGATACTTGGGCAGAGGGCTCTGTAACTGCTATTTGGGAGTATTTCTAGGAGTCATGCCTGGTTGTGGTTGTTTAGACATCTTCTTTGCTTCAGGCTGTGTCAACATATAACATTTTTTCACAGCGACTTAATCTCCCCATAGATTAATAACCTCTTTTCCATCCGGAGATAAGCACCGCATCACCTGATGAAGGGTAAACGGGACTTCATTCATTCGGTGTTTCTATCCTCTTCCCATGATGAGATTATAGTAAAGGTGGATCCCTGTTAAGACAAAGTTCTCCTTCAGAGTCCTCTTTGTCGCGGTTACAGATAAGTCAATTACCCCAAGGGGATCTACTTTTGTGCCATCGAACCCCATCAATGGGCTGGAAGTGAGTCGAATTGATGATGACGGGATCTCTAGCTGCTCAAAGATCGCCTTTGTGATGATGTTGGCACTACTCCCTGGGTCTATCAAAACCCTCTTAATCATGCAATTCGTCACTAAGAGACTGATGACCAATAGATCTTCGTGGGGAAGTTGAATTTTGGATAGGTCGCCATCGCCGAATCCAATACTGACGCTGCCCGAAGCGATAGCATTGACCGAGGATAACTTTCTGAGCTTATGGACTGTCCTCAATCTGGATCTATATACCTCCTCAGACTCTTGATCATCTTTAGATCTACCATGTATTGCATGAATGACTTTTACTTGATTACCCTCTAACTTGCGAGGGTAGACCTCGTGGGGCTTCACATACTCCTTTGTTGTGAGATAATCTACCAACTCACCTCTAGCTATCATGTTCTCCATTTGTCGCCTAAGGGATCTGCAATCATTAGTTGAATGCCCATAATCTCGATAATAAGCGCAATGCTTGCTTTTGTCCCTTTGTTCCAAGGGTTGCTTCATTGGCTGCGGGGCTGTGAACCTCATCTTATTCTTTTGGAAGAGCCGAGCCAAGGTAGTTCGGAGAGGTGTAAACCCTTCCTCTATCCTTTGCCTCTTTTCAGGTGCCTGGGTGATTTGCGCTAAGGTGCGCTGGCTTTTCTGGATTTTTGAATTTGAAGTTCTCTCCTGAGGCTTGTTCTCCATTGTCACGAAGGTGGCGTGCTGCTCTTGGTGGGCTACATTCTCCTCGAGCCGAATGTAGATCTGGGCCCTGGCATTGAGAGTCTGCATGTCGGGAGGAGAATTGTGATACCCCTCGGATCCGAGACACGGGTTGATCAGGCCCAGGCCCAAACCCGAGGGAATATCAAACAACTAATATTTTATAATGAACACAGAATACAAAATAAATTAAGAAATGAAATTAAAGCTGGAAGGAACTAAAAATAGAATCCGCAAAATATTATAATTATTAAAATCCATCAAACCCAAACTCCAAAACTCCATCAGTTTACAACTTGGGAATCCATCTCTAGTGGACCCCTATTAAACATCCAAACGGAAGATAGAACAACTGTAATAAACATCCAGAAATAAAACTATAGAGAGAGCCCTACATTGTCGGAAGAGTGAATAGAGACCTCTGCTTAGCACGAACACGTCTAAGCCTGGAACTGTCGTGTACCTGAAAAAATAGAAGTGGGTCAGGCCCACGCGCAAGTTCTATACTACTACAATCCAAGCAGAGGCCCGATACGCATGTACATCCTAAACAATTCAACAATAGTTGATAGTCCGTAAATATATATATAGTCACACTAAAGGACTCTCACTGGACTACAGGCCGATCTCAACCTGAATAGAGGTAACATGCTAAAACGCACACGAAGTGGGCATATGTACCTATACCTAAACAGGGTACACCTCCAACCATCGTAGCCAGCTACACATCCCGATGCATATACGCTCCCTAGCCATCGGTCCTGAGGCTCAAGCTCATACCGAGGCACCATAACAGTACATATATAAAATCCATCCAAAATCCCTGGTATTGCCGCTCAACAAGTAGTTGCCATGACAATACAAATCCACGGGACTTAACTTTTAGTTAATCCCATCCTTATTCCAAGTAGGTGGATAATGGTATTGTTTTAAAAACCAAACACATCCTTAGTATGCCACCGTCCCATACCGGTGCCTACTTTCCAATCCTCCAGTAGTCAATAATACCAATAAATCAAGTATATATCAACTAAATTCCAACATCCAACATTCAATGTTAGCAGTGATAAAATAAGCATTGATAAACAGGGTCACAACAACAACATATACATGCCCAATTTAAGTTGTTCCCTTTAGTCTGATATAAAGACAGAATTAATTAAAACTTCCATTTAACACCTTACAAATGACATACAGATATGTAGGGTATGTATCACAAAATCCTAACCTCCACAGTTGATACTAACTGTGATAATGTAAGCATCAAAACAATATTCACAGTATGTATGTAGACATGCCCAAATTATAGTGTTCCACAAAACCGATCTAGTGTTAAACTCAAATCCTCCTAGTATTTAAGTTCCAACAGTTGCTATTACAGAAGTTAAGATAACTATCATCTAGACCCATCCTTCCAATAATTTATACTAGCAGTGGTAAGGAAAAACCTGAACCACAGAACCACAATGCATCCACAAACATGCTTAGTCTAGGTTGAACAAGTATACAACACTACTGTAACTACCAGTTTCATAGCAAAACAGATATCATTTTAGTTTGGTTTAATCTTCATTAATCCTGAAATCATTTAAGAGTGCAAAAAGTATGAAGCCTAAGGGAAAGAGTAAGGATAGAATCTTGCCTCAGAAACTTTTGTTCAAAGTTTCAACGTCGTCTTCTTAAAAAATCCTGGCGAGTTCCAAAACCTGGTTACTGTTCACGGGTACGAAACACTATTCCTGAACTCAAAATCTGATCTCCACCGTTCAGATTGTGCGACACTGAGTCGTGAACCTTTCCTCCAAATTTCAGCTTGATCGGACCACGGACGAAGTGGAATCGGATGCTTGATGAAATCTGGGCAGAATGGAAAAAAAACCTGTGCGACTTCCAAAACCCGGTTACTGTTCACGGGTACGAAACACTATTCCCGAACTCAAAATCTGATCTCCACCGTTCAAATTGTGAAACACTGAGTCATGAACCTATCCTCCAAATTTCAACTCGATCGGACCACGGACAAAGCAGGATCAGATGTTTGATGAAATCTGGCCAGAATGGAAAAAACCTGTGCGACCCAGTTACTGTTCACGAGTACAAATCACTGTTCCTGAGGTCAAACTCTAATCTTCACCGTTCATATTGTGCGTCACTGAGTCGTGAAGCTGTTCTCCAAAATTTAGCTCGATCGGACCACGGACGAAGCGGAATCGGAGCTTTGATCAAACCTTGGCAGAATGTGAAAAACTGCATTTTCCCTTCTCCACTTCCACAAAACGTGTGCTTTGTTTAAAAAAACCCTACACAGACGTCTACCTTATACTTATAGAGTTTTCCTAAACCCTAGGTTCATTTAAGTCCAACTCACAATCCTCACCGGCCCATCCAATTAATGTAGAAACCTACGACGGCTATAATATAAAACCCTAATTTATACTGTAATTAAATCCCTAGTTAGATGTATTTAACTAATTACCCTATTCACCATTAAATACTTAACAAATAATCTAATTGAACAAAATAATAATTAGTAAACCCAATTAAATCAAATAAGACACACATAAAATAAGACACACATAGAATAATTAAACCAATTACACTTAAACCATTAATGCCAATTAAATAATTAAAACACTAATAAGTAATTCCAATCAAATAACTAAACCAATTACACTTAAACAATTAATGCCAATTAAATAATTAAAACACTAACAAGTAATTCCAATCAAATAACTAAAAATAAATATCATTTAAATAAATTAAATCACCACAAAAGAAAACAATTAAGCACCTAATAAAAAAAAAAAATAATGACACATAATCAAATAAAATGCACTTAAATAATAAATTAAATACCATTAAATACCAGGAATATCCTTTTTAAAATTAGAGGTATTACAAGAATATTTGACCAAAGAAGTATGAAACTTCGTCCCCTGAATCATTGCAAGTTTGAATGCTTCTATAGCAGTCACGGGATGACAATCTACTATTTCCAAGGCTTCCATGTTGAATCTGGATAAGAAATCCTGCAATATTTCCCTTCTTTTGCGTTACGGTGAAGAGGTTAGCAATACTCTTCTTTTGCTTCTTATTTCCACAGTATTGTGCTAGGAACATGGTGCACAGAGTTACATAATTTGGGATTGACTTGTGTGGCCTATTCCTAAACCACTCTAGTGCAGCTCCTGTCAAACTGGTAGGAAAAACTCTGCACATCCAAAGATCATTACGGTCGTCCAAAGCCATCTTTTGGGTGTAATGATCCAGGTGCCGAGAAAGATCTCCCGTACCATCAAACTAAGTAAAAGAATGCATGGTAAATTTCTTGGGCCTCTCAACCATATACACATCGTCAGTGAAAGGAGTCTTCACCAGGGAGTTTTTGTGCTCTTTGGCTATCTCAGCGGGTGTCTGAATCTTCAGGAGTCTTTTCTCATCAAAGGCATCCTGTACACCAGCGCCATCTGGAATACCATTGGACCATACCGTAGGCTTACGGCTAGACTCGGCTTGCTCGTCCTGCGTGCGACGAGGGAAGTTGTCCGAAGCAACTACCTCGGTTCTTGTCCTCTACTATTGCTGAACTTCGTTTGGCTAAGCCTCATTGGGTCGTGCCCCATTAGGTTGAGGCCCGTTAACTGGAGGAATATTTTGATTAGGGGGTGGTGTTGCTGTATCACCTGGTGGTGGCGGTGGTGTCAACTGAGCCATCGCCGTTTTAAGAGTGTTATTCTGCTGTTGAAGCAAGGCGATCTGAGCCACACTAGCTTCTTTCGCTTGACGAAGTACTTCAAACTGGTACAGAAACTCTTCACGCATCTTCTGTATCAACTCCGTCTGTTGATCCGCTGAAGATCCTCCGTTCAACATTCCAGATGGTAGTAGCAAAATTCATTTGAAACAAAAATGGGAATATATTTGCATACACTTCCCACAGACGACGCCAAAGTGTAGGTGCAAAATTTTGCCCAACCAATAATGAATAAGAGAAATAAAACAACTCACTCAACAAACAATAAAAATAAGCAAGAACAGTATATAGAGAAGCGTAGAATTGCTTATATGTTTCGATCCCTTTTATTGGAGGTCTTGGCCTCTATTTATACATAAAAAATAGTAGAGTTATGGTAGGACTCGCATTACTTGTCCTCCAATTCTTTCTATGTAGACATTCTTTACAATTAGAGTTCTTTCCATTGTTTAATTTTCCATTCACAGAACTTGCTTTGTGAAGAACTTTCTATTACAAAGTTCTCCTTTTTATGGTAAATCCTTCACCAAGCAGGATTTGTTCATTCTTGAATAACTGGGTTGGCTATAGCATTAACCGGCTAGGCTTGAATAATGGGCCGGATGTTTAATATGAGCAGATTGGGCTAACACTTTCTTGATTTGGCCCGGATAAAGGTAAGAGGACAAATAACAGTGATCCTGGGCTAAGAATACATTAACTTTGGGCTTGAGCATGATGGGCCTTTTGGAAGACAGATTTGTGCCCGTGATGACATGGAGTAATCTTATTGGAGGGGATTTTTTCCCTCCATATTTACCTTTTCATTTAGTTCTTAAAAGTTCGAAATACTTAATAATTGAATAAGTTATGAAAAAGGTTGTAATATAAAATCTTTCGTGAATGGGTTAACCAAGAGAGAGAAAGAGACAGATTGGTTAAGGGACTTAACCAAAAGAGAGAACGTGGAGAAAGAGAGAGAAAAAAATGATTATTTGTTTCCTTATTATAAATGATTCTTTCTTAATTAATCCTCTCTCCCAAATCCCTAAAATAAGAATCGTGTGGCTTATAAGCGACAGCTCTTTAGACTTTTTGCAAGAGCGCTCTTGCAATAATTTTACTCTTTCTGATGTATGTAATATATATATATCTCATATGTGTGGACCGAAGACCCATGCTGATGGCTTGATGAAGAGGTGATTTAACCACATATTGACCACAAAATATAAGCCCTTGGATTTCCCACTAACATAGATTATACACCTGATTTGCTCTGCATGACTTGCCACAACAAAAACCACCAAGACTCCTACAGCACTATTAGCATAATAGT